AGCGTAAGGTCCCGAGTTCGATCCCTGATACCAAAATTTAAAAAAATCTCTAACCTGAGATAAGTCAGTATATGAATGAATTAATGAGTGGAATATTTTGGTAGAAGAGTGTTTAAAATGTATCTGAGAAGAGAGATTTTCAAATTCTAGCCTATACTGAAAAGTGAGTCTCTTTCCTTGCCCTTAAAAGAAAAAAGTTGTCAACAGGATAGAATTTTGCATCTTTAAAGTTTATGTTTGATCAAGAATTGAACCCATAAAGATGTCAAATCAGCAGACTTTAAAATTTTTTACTTGTACAGTAACACCCAGAGAGAGCTGCCTTCATAAGTGCAGATGAAATCACCTCCAGCCTTGTCCATGATACCATACTATACTTGACTATGAGAAAAGGAAGGGTAAATTCTTTGGTTCGCTATTACTTTAACTCATAATTTAAAGCTATGCTACCAAATGATTCAAAATTGCTAATATATTCTAAGCAAATGGCATGATGATTAACCACGCTCGTTCATAAACTGGATGACATTTAGATTTTGAAATGATACTCTCCCTGCTCCACTTCCTTAAATTGCCCTATGGCCAGTATCACAGAAGCACATCAATGCAATCCATGCAAATACAAGACTCCATCCTCTGTCTGTCCTTAAAAACCCCAGTCAGCAGTTTGCGCCACAGCGCTCTGCCGCAGCATCCCCGCAGCACTTGAACTTGGGAACAGGCTTTCCAGGACTGCAGGCAGAACCCTTACCGCATTCCTTCTGAACCTCATCTTGCCTCTCGGGGGATTTGCTTCTGCCATCTCGCCTATACACAATTACACTCTTCTTCTCCAACTGTCAATGCAACATTGATGAAATCTGAGCAGCTTCTTGGGTAGTATTTAAAAACGGCAGCTGCTTCCATTACCACCCCAGGCAACGCTGCAAAAAAAAATCCACTATCCCTGATTAGTCAGCTGACAGATCCTTCCCTGCTGCTCACTGTAATTCACAGCTGACACTTTCGGTCCCGCAATTACTTAGCCTGATTGAACCTGGTGGATGAGCTCGCGCTGGACTGCTCAAGAATATTGGGCATGTCCAGAGAGTGGAGGAAGGAAAAACCCACTCTCCTCCTCAGAGCCGTCTGGATGGGACTGGCTTTCTCTTCTGCGCAACTGGATTTTTAAGGTGGAATGCCAGGGATCTTTGTGAAGGTAGTATTAGCTGATCACTCTGATGCCTGTCCTACCTGCATCTGGAACTTCATTTCAATTCTGTATACCACTACTTTTAATTAAATTCTATTCTGAATTTAAGCATTTGAAATGTTAGAGTTTATGAAATTTTTTCCTGATAATAATCTAGAAAGCACGTGTACTTTCTAAGATGGGCAGGATCCACTCCCAAATCAGTTTTCCCTCAAAATAGCTTGAAGAGAGAAGTCTAAATATTCTCGCCAAAAAGAAATAATAAATGTTTAAGGTGATAGTTATGCTAATTACCCTGACTTGATCATTACACAACGCATATATAAATCAAAATATCGCATGTTATCCAGTTAGTATATACAATTATTAGGAGTCAAATCGAATTTGAAAATATGTCCTCTCATTAATTATGAAGTATAACCTAGCTGCTTTCACTTATTTTGGAATCCTAATTTAAGACCTTCAAATGGAATTGTATGATTATTTCACAGACACTCATTTAAAGAAATACACCACAGTTACCTGTCTACATGTGGTACCTTTCACCAGAAACCCTTTCCGAATACCAACTTTTGCTCTTGAAATTAACTTGTATTCATATTCACCTTTATTTCAGAGACCAACAGGTATCGATGGTTGATATATGATGAATGTGCTGTTGAGTATGTGTATAGAAATTACATCAAAAACAGACATATTTAAAATGTTCAAAAGACACAGCTAAAACAATCTATGGCTATTTACATGTCAAAAATAACCCCTACTCTTGACCAGCACCATCAATCCAGCAGAAAAGAAAAGGACCTTGAGCTCTGAGCTCTTTTACTGAGCACACAGTAGCTCAAGCTTCCCCACTGAGAGAAGTAGCAGCCTATGGAACACAGAAAGGAGTAATCCTGCCCAAGAAATGAGTCATTACCCCGATACTGACCTTTAATTGATAGGATGGAGACCTAATCTTACACCTCTCTCATGAGAAAAAGATCTCTGTCCCAAGTAACCTATTTGATTAATAGAAGTAAAACTTTACCAAAGGACTAGTGTCATGTGCCCATTAGTCAGGCAATGCAAATTAATTTAATCAAACTGGTCAGTGTCAGTGTTGGGCAAAGGTAAAAAAAAAGCTAGGCAATAAAACAATGCTTTCTTGCAATGAGTGCTACAATTACTATAGAAGTATCGATTATAGGCATAAACCAAAATGTATTAAACAAACCCAAAGACCAACCTAAAAAGTCACAACAAGGGAAATAGCTTTTATTTTATTTAGCCCCAGAGCTAAGGTTCAATAATCCATGAAAGATAGATTTATGCACTCCAAATAAAATGTACTTTTTGCTGAAAAACACTGAATTTAGTTATATACTCAAGGGCCATTTGGAAAATGATAGAAAATAGCAGGTAGAAAGGGTACCAATAAGCACTTATGAAATTCCAATTTTTGCTCTGGATCTGTTGGTTTCTTCAGTTTGACCTCTGATTTATCACATAACCATCCCAAAATGCATATATCAATTTAATCCCATCATGTATATGACAATTATATTAAAACCTGCCTACCGTAGTTAAGTAAGAAGTAAGGAGAATCAACATTACTTAATCAATACAAATGCTTTTGGAAAAGAAAAAAATATACAAAGGAAATTTTTCTATTTTATTTTAGTAACTTGTTTGGTTCTAGTAGTCTCTTTTCTCCACTGTTTATGATTACGCACCTCTTTTAAACAAATAAATAAGAATACCCACTTTGCTAACTTGCCCAAGAAAAGGAAATTCACGCTGGATATGAAAAACCATCTCATTCATTTTACCATGTGAGCGCTAGTATGGAGAGAGTGTCTCACTATGCTGATGGGGCTGATCTCGAACTCCTGGGCTCAAGTGATCTTCCTGCCACAGCCGCCAGAGTGCCCAAGATTATAAGTACATGCCACCACGTCCGGGTTTGAGTGCTAATAAATTTTTGTGTTCATTGACAAAATAATATAGCAAAAAAACAACAACAACATTGACTCAGAAGTCCAACAGCCTAGATTTTTGGCCTGCCTTTGAAATTAAATCAACTTCCTCCAGTGAGCAGTGAGCGGGCCTCCTGTGTCCATGAGGGGACAAATCAAGACTTTTCCATGGCAGGAGTAGGACACTCTGGTGTGCTACTGTACAGCAGGGTGACTATAAGTAACAATAGTGCACTGCCTAGTGTACTGTAGAGCCAAACAAAAGATTAATAGGATTTAGGGAGGTTTTCTTTAAATAAGAAGGGGTACAAGAGATGGAGGGATGGGGAGGGAAGGAAGGGAAAGGGATTTAAAGAAAACTGAAGAAAAACCTGGAAATAGGGGAGCGAGTAAGGGGAAGAGGATGAAAACAGAATAAATATGTGGTGCACACGTACAAACTTCCCACAATAAATGGAATAATGTACTGCAATATGTACCAATAAATACCAAAAGAAGAAAGGAAAAACCTAGAAGAAAATATTTTCAGTGTTTTCACTACAGATACATAATAAATCTGTGAGATCTGTTTACCCTGATTCATATATAAAATGTATACAAGTATCCAAACCACAAGACACCGCATAAGTAAGTACAATTTTGAGGGTTTTATATATCAGTTAAAAAACTGAACTTCCCACTGGATCACATATTGGTTACTTACCTGCTTTCAGAAAAAAAAGTTAATGAAACAAAAAAAATGTTATGTACAAAGAAAAATTTTTCAGGTGGTTGATGATGTTGGAATCTTAAACCTGACTCCCAGCAACTCTGGTCTGATAGAGGAAATGGGCCACACGGAACTTCCACAGACAACTGCACTTTTGTCAGCTCAGAAGGAGGCTGAGAGTTCCTCACTTCCCTCCTTTTGGATGGGAGGGCTTACTGGGGAATTGAACCCAGGGCCTGTCTACTGAACTATATCCCCAGAACTTTCTTTTATGTTTTTAAATTTTGATACAGAGTTTCACTAGGTCACTAAATTATCCAGGATAGGCTAGAGCTTCAGATTTTCCTGCCTCAGCCCCCCAGAGTGCTGGGATTACATGGGTGCACCACCATGACAGCATCGATGTGACTACATCCTGAAAGACTAATAATGTAAAAAACCATCTTGGCTGTGTCCAGGATTATATTTCCCATTTACTAGTACCTGGGATTGAACTCGGGTCCTTGTGCTTGCGAGGCAGCAGAACCACTGAGCTAAATCCCTGGCCCCTCTTTTTGCACTCTCTCTCTCTCTCTGTCTCTCTGTCTCTCTGTCTCTCTCTCTGTCTCTCTCTCTCTCTCTCTCTCTCTCGTCTCTGTCTCTCTGACTTGGGAAGCTAAAAAACGAGATTCCAGTGTGGGAGATACATTATTTCAAAGGTGACTCACTTTCCTACCTTTTCCTGGGAAAAGAACAAGTCTAGAAAGATATACACCAGCCAAAGTGATACAATACACTTATTTGTGGGTGTTTGGACTACTTACTATTGTTTTAAACTTTCTTCTTTACACTTTTCTGCATATAATAAGTATACAATATGGGTATTTCCATTTTTTAAATTCCCATAAAAACTTGCCTTTCTCTGAAAAGACACAGAACCATAAGGCTTTACTCATTCATAACCTGAACCACTACCTATTCAATCCTTCATATTCAGTTTGACATTAGGCGAATTGTTTGCCACAATCTACTCTAAAAAATCTTCTTCCTAGTTTCCCTCCTTCTTATCTCATGCATTTTTATCCCCATCGGTATACATATAATCCATGTCACAAAAGTATGAAGTTTAATGAAAAACAAAAATGAGTACATATGTACTCACTGAGATTTTTTGTAGAGAGATTTTGAGAGATGACCACGTATCCAATCTCCGATCCACAATAAGGGTGAACTGGGAGTTAGGCTCATTTTGCCTGTAGGATAAGAGAAAAATAATAATTTCCTGTTAGCAATAACCCAAATCTGCAATATTCATTTTTATTTTTTAATGTTTCTTTCACATTTGATGTTTAAAGACAGATTTGGAATTGGAAATCTATTAAAAGTGCTTAGACAACCAATCTAACTCTCTGTTCCTCTGCTCTCTCCTTAAAATTTTCTTTTTCAACACTACTGCCAATCTTTAAATAGGAAAAGCCTGATGTTATGAAGACAAGATCCTAAAATAGAGTGAGAATACTGAAACCTTGGGGATGGGCAAACCCAAAGACAGCCCTCTTTCATGACATCAGATTTAACTTTTCATGGCAATCTATCAAAAGCTAATAAGGGAAAAGAAAAGAAATGAGAAAATGAAAAAATGGAAATAAAGTAAATAGGGAAGGGAGGAGGGGGTGAAGGGAGGGCAGGGGTATGGGGAAAAATGAGAACCAAGATCTGTCATGTAAAGGTACAAGATCCCAATGATGAATGTAACTGTACTGTATACCTAAAATGTACCAATAAACTCAATGAGGAAAAAAAAAAGCTAATGAGTGGGCTGGGGATTTAGCTCAGTACTTCCAACACCTGCCTCACAAGCGTGAGGTCCCAAGTTTGATCCCCAATACCAAAAAAAAAAAAAAAAAAGCTAATGATCTATTCATACAGAAAAAAATACTGTTACATACAATTTTCTATCTCTAGTCTGTTCCTTGAGGAAAGTAAGTTTAATGGATAATCTTCAACAAGCATACTATAAATTTACTCTAGAATTTGATTTTTTGTCCATAAGGCTCGTCAAATGTTCCAAAACTAGATTTACATTTTTCTTATTCTTCGGGGCTAGTAATTGGAAAATGCTGCCTTTAAAAACTTTAACTTCAACATAAATAAAATCTCTAATACAGCTTTCTAAACTTTCTACTTTAAATGCATTCTACTTCCAAAAAATTCTAATTATCAATTTGTAGTAATAATAATAATAATAAGCCATTTTTCTGTTACAATGTTCAAATGGGCATTTAATATAAAGAAAATTGAAACTGCATAATGAAATACTATACCTTACAATAGATGTCAGATAAGTGAGCACTTTTGCAATGACTTCTTCTGGTATACATTTGAAGTTACAGTTTTCTGGAAATGTAATGATCCAGGCATTGTCCTTTCCCTGACCCCCTAAAACAGTAGAACAAAAGCAGCCAAATTAATTTATATGACAACATAAGGAAGAATAGTTTAGATTTAAAGACTGTTCGGAGCCAATGAAGCTTCTTTCAGGATGATGACCTCCACATAAAGCAAAACAGCACCAAGCTCCTAACACTTTAAACAGCGGCAGATTTCATGAAATGTGTATAATAAATGTGGCCGAAGAGATAGCTGATACCCCAAGTTGCACAACTAAATGAAACTTGGAAGTAACTATGAGCCTAAATTCTAAATGAGTGATTGACAGCTTGACAAGTAGAAAGCTGGATAAAAAGCAGCCTCATAAAGTCAAGGTGAGCATGAATAAATACATGGCATGATCCATAGGAAACAAGTAAGGATCTAATATGTTTGTGAAAGAAACAACAGAAAAAATAATAGCAGCAGTGGTATAGGGAACATAGAAAGATCACAAATTCTCTGTGCAATGAAATTCAATGTGTAACCTGCCTGGGGCTGATGTACAGGTGGAAGGGGGAATTAAGGCAGCCTCCAGGCCCCATCTCCCAACCTCCTGCCCCAGGAAGCTGCAGCAGTTGCATCCAGCAGTGCCTCAACTACGTAGGTGACTACAGCCAGCCCTGCGGAAGGGGAGATCCAGGGCTTGTAGGTGCCCCGAGCTCCTGTCCACAGAGCTCTAGAGCAGAGATGAGTGTTACTGGAATTCTTGGTAGCAAATAAATAATCCTGGGCTTTCGTTTGGCGGTAAACTGTCACCTGTCCATCCGCCTAGACCTGTAGTTCTACTCAGCCCAGAGGATGAGATACATTGAGGATGAAAGCCACCTAAGTGCAGAAATGAGCTTTATAAGTATTAAAGCAGCTGGCCTAATACCTGCACACAGAGGAGGCACTCAATAATATTAAGTGCCAAATGGAGTTTGAAAATTTATCTTAGGAAAAAGTTGCGGGGAGATTTTGAATTGAGCTCACTGATTGAAACTTTTGATAGATTTATTTCTTATTTGGCTGAATTTAAGTGACTTTGTAAAGATTTTTTTCTATTCAATGTGAAATAAGAATATGACAATTGTAAAGGAATTAAAGTGGAATGAGAAAAATATGCAACCCAAAAGAAAGCAGAAATGGAGAAAAATAAAAACAAATGACAGAAAGAGAAAACAAACTGCAACATGGTACAGTGGACCCTTAATTTACGAATTTAATTCATTCACAAGAGCTAGCTGTAACTCAAGTTGATCAGTTGAAGGCACAGGCTACCCTACACAGCCTTCAAAGTCTCTCTCCTACATACAGGCAGATCCCAGTGTCCTGAGAGAGACACTGGCCCAGGATTTCTCAATGAACCCCACACAGGAAAGGGTGTTGTAACGTTCCTTCCAGAACTCTACAGGGGTTAAATCTGTATCTGAAACCATCTGGAAGCACAAGCAACTTGCATTCTGGTTGCAACTCAAGATTTGGTTGTTAAGTTAAACCTAAAATTATGGTCAGATCCCCAAGTTGTTCATATGTAAGGGCCAGTCATAACTCGAGACCACTGGGGATTTCAATGTAATCATATATTTAATCATATAAAATGTAAATAATCTAGACATTACATTTTGAAGTCAGAGATCATTAAACTGGATTTGAAAAAGCAAGACCCAACCATATGCTGCCTACAAAAAACACACTTTAAATATACAAGTATAAATACACTAAAAGGAAAAGGATGGAAAAAGACCTACCATGCTAATACTGGTCAAAAAGAAGCTGTTTAAATCTAGACAAAGTAGATTTCTGAGCCAAGAATATGACTAGATAATAAGTTCACTGAGAGGACATAATGCTTAATGCTTGTGGATGAAATACCAGAGCTTCAAAATGCATGAAGAAAATACTGATAGAGCTGTTAGGAGAAATAGACAAGTCCATAATTTTACTCAGAAATTTCATCATCCATCTCTCAATAACTGATAGGACCTGAAGACAAAATTTTGTAAGGCTATTATCCACCTGAACAAATTATCAACCAACATCACCTGATACTCCAGCCAATAAAAACAGAATATATATTCTCTTCTAGTTCACATGGGAAAACATCAAATTAATCATTTGCCTTAGTCTTTATTAAGAAAAACTTTATTAAGAAAATCTCATTCCCAAATTATCTTTTGAATCAAACCAGGCAAAATCATTAAATCAAATGATGATTATTTTCAGCATATGAATATTTTAAAACTAGAGAGCTGGGTGAAGGTAACTGTTGAAAATGATAGTATCCACCCACGAGTTTGCAAAGAATTCAAAAAAGAAACTGTACTACTCTGAACCAAAAAATTTACTAAATCATTAAACAAAGAACCTCTAAAAACTAATTATATAAATAGTATATAGCTAATTATATATACTGTGTATATGACTAACTATACATTTGCCAAAAAAGCTAGCTGAGCACTATAGTTAAGGACAAAACTATGTATCAAAGGAAATGACGTATGATTCTTCTAAGGGTAAATTATCACAGACCAATCTACACACTATCACGAATTCAGAGTACCTATAAGTACTGTACTAGAAAACTTCTTCACAATTTATTTTTTGGGGGGGCACGGGAATCAATCAAACCCAGGACCTTACACTTGCAAGGCAGGCGACGGAACGACTGAACTAAATCCCTGGTCTAGATAGTAAACTTCTGAGAAGAGAACAAAAGAGATATTTATATTCTAAATTGGGAGGTTTTCATTATTTTTCTCCATGGCAATCCTTTCTTCCAAAGAAACCACAAGCAGAAGCGATTTAAAAACAAGTACAAAAAGCCCACAAGGAAAACTGTACAGAGCATCCAGAGCAGGGTGGGAAGCCCTAAGAATGTCTGTATTCAGAACACAGTTTAGAAAACACTAAGATCTAGGGGTGTAGCTCTGTGGTAAAGCTCTTGCTAGCATCCATGAGGCCTGGGGTGCCAACCCCAGCACTCCCTCCACCCAAAGATTATCATTATTCTCTGGTGTTCTGGATTGAGTGGGTGGGTGTGTTTTGTTTTGTTTTGATGGTGCTGCGAAGAAGGCTAGGACCTCATGCATGTTAGGCAAGTGCCCAGAAGACATTGACAAGCTTAAATAAAATTTCCAGATTTTAAAAATGAACATAAGATACCACTAAATTTACTAAGACAGAAGAGTAGTCCACATTTATACTCGAGGCATACATTCTAAGATCCCCAGGGGCCTGAAACCAGATAGGATCCAATCCAGTACAAGTGTGTTTCCCTATATTCCGTGCAGGGTTGCATATAGGAGCTCAGTTAATCTGTCCGTCCATGCTCTGCTACATGATCTGTTTTGGCAGTGTGGAAAGCGGAACCCAGGGCCACTACAGGCCAAGTGCTGGATCCCTGAGATACATCCCCAGGCTCTGCATCACTATTCTTGTGCTTTAGGGCCCCTACTAAGAAAAATAAGAGTTACTTGAATATAAGCATTGTAATACCACGTTGGTCAATGTGGTAACTAAGATGGCTGCTAAGTGACTAAAAGTCTGGTTATTTATACAGCATAGTTATGCTGCAGAAAAGGAGATTCACATCCTAGGCAGGACAGAGTACTCTAGAAGATCTCATCACCTTACTCCGAATGCCATAACATTAAAAACATGAATTGTTTATTTCTAGAATTTTCCATCTAATATTTTCAGACCACAGTTGATAATGGGTAATTGAAACTTCAGAAAGCAAAACCACGGGTAACGAAGTAATACATGTCATATATTTTTGTCTTTTTAAAAAAAAATCAATAGAGTCTCATTAATTAAATCACCACTGAGTCACACTAATAACTAATTATAATCATTTAAAAGTAGAGGCCAGACTGAAGTGTCCAATTAGGATTGCCTATAAAGTAAATGCTTGTTTAATAAAATGAGCACATAGATATCATTTTAGGGGAAATAGATATCTAAAGGGAATGTTAGTTTCTTGTATTCTCAACACACAAGAAGTGCTCAATTTACATAAAAGTGATGCAAATAATGGTAATTTTTTCTTTTCTCACTTTACTATGACCACGTTTAATGATATCCTTCAAATTATTCTAATATTTAAGAAGAATTTGTTTGTTTTTAAGTACAATTTTCCCAAGAATCTGAGCAGCAGCAAAAGGGGTATGGTGATTACCACAGTGATGCCTCTAAAAATAGAGAACGTTACTTAGTGGCATTATTCGTGATAAGGCAGAAGCAACAGCGGTACTGTATCAATGGAGGAATGAATAAACAAAATGCAGTACATACACACAATGGAATATCACTCAGGCTTAAAAGAAAAGAAATTCTGGCACATGCCACAAAACGGATAAAACTCGAGGACATTATGCTAGGTGGAATCAGCTGGTCATAAAATGACATATACTATATGATTCTACTTATATCAGGTCTCTAGAATCATCAAATTCACAGACACAGAAGGGAAAATAGTGGTTCCCAAGAGATAAAAGGAAGGAAATGGAATGGGGAGTTGCCGTTTAAGAGATTCAGAGTTTCAATTTTGCAAGATGAAAAGCATTCTGAAGTTATATAGTGGTAATGGCTGTACAAAAGTGTGAATATACTTACCCCTGTGGAACTGTACTCTTAAAAACAGTTGGAGTGCTTATGATTTTTATTAGTACATATTTTCAGTACATAATATTTATTATATATATTTACAGTAGTCAAAAATTATATAAAAGACACATATTTGAGAAAACTAAATTTCTTTATCATGTATAAGTGAAATCCTAAAAACAAAATTAAACACCTGCTGCTCAATTCAGGCGACTTGCTAACATTTGCAAAAAACCTTCGAGTAATCAGAGCTGGTGTGGAGGAGAGAAAAGAAACCACAACTGCTACCATCTTACCCAGCCCGCACCTATCTAGGAGATAGCCATATTCCTCTCTCATGGGTATCTGAAGACTTCTCTGAATGTTACATGTACAAGAGTGGTAAGGTTGGTCTTAATCACACATTTAAACATCTGTAAAACCTCTAAATAGTCTACAAATGTCCATTTGTTCAGCAACCAGGTATAAAATATATTAAAGTTTATTACAATGATGCTTCTTAAATTGGAAGGAGAGGGAGAGAGAGAGGACAAACTATATAATACATGGCAAACCAACTCTGCTGATCAATTCATCCATTTATCTGCACTAAATACCTGAGGAAGGTTGCTTACCAGACAAGAAGGCGATGTCCTGCATTAAGAAATGACTGATGTCCTTCACGTGGATGATCAGCTCTCTTTCTATGAAAAACAAGAAAGGGGAAGAAACAACACTTATGTTAAAGCACAGCTAGAAACATCCATGGTTTCTCCCGGTGGACAAAAGAACTCCGTACCGGGCTCCGGCAGATCTCTCTCCACACACACCTCTCAGCTACAGGGCAAGGAAATCTGCGTCTGAGAATAGCACTGGACACAAAGGACAAGTAACCAAGTTCTCGATATCTCTGGCCAGAATGCAAGCTATTCTCATGAGCCAGAAAGTCAAGGGCAAAGATGCCGAACTCCAGAGCATCCGGATTTATGTGAAGGATAGTCGGGTGGAGACATTGTAACACACTGTCTTGTACTTCTGATAATGCTGCTTTTCTTTCTACAGAACTGTAATACAATCAACAAGGAACTTGTAAGATCTTTTATTGTGCTGGGTCCTTAAAATACCCCCGAAGGAGGTTTATTAATTCCTTTTTACACGTCAGGAAGAGAGTCTGTGAAGAACTCAGTGTATGGGCTATCGTGTGGGCTTCTGAGGCACACAGGCCTGCGTTCAAATCCAGTTTACTGCATTTGCTAGCTGCACAAACATGGGCAAGTTATTTAGCTTCTCCAAGCCTCAGTTTCCTCATCTATATACTGGACATAACAATATCTACCTCACAAGATGCTATGCCAATGGAATGTAAAATAGCTGGCATAACAGCAGGTGCTCAGTGAAGAACAGCATGCCAACCCATTTCTTACCATTACATATGGAACAGTGTGTGGCCTTGTTCAATATGTTTTAGCCGTCTCAGGTCTTACGTGCTAACTTGAAATGTTCAAATCTACTGAACTCTATGGGGGCCAAAAATCAAACCTGCCTTTGCTCCATGAACAAGGATAACTTATTAAAAGAAAATAGGTCGCCAAACCATGCTATTTGGGATTGTTAGCTTTAACACCTGTGGTTCCACGTCTCTTCCTAATGCTATATTTTCCACCTACTCTCTGCCACAAAGAGCGTGCAAAGTCCTAGTCTCTAGTGGTGTCAGGTGGGGAGTGCATCACCGTTCCTAAGGCTCCTCAAATCATACCATATAGATACAGTTTTTCAAGATCAATCCTCTTCAAGGGAATTAAGCAAGTTCTCAGGGAGTCAGATTAGGCAGTAGAATACGGTCCCTGTTACAGAATGAGTGACACAGATTTGAAACATAAAGCAATTAATTGACAAGGTACGAGTCATTAAAACTTGAAAATGATCAGAACATATAAATCAATTTTTAAAAAAGTAATTAACATACAGATTTATATTTGTGTTTAGGTTCCTCATATATCCCAGGCCAAAGCAGGAATACTAACATTTGCAATGATCCTTTCAATGCAACGTGTTTCCTCACATAAAAGATTATGTTTAAGCAGTCGTGAATATGTGACCTATTGATATTTTTAGACCTGGATACATGGAAGAAGGATTATGAAAAGAGAACTAGAACTACAATTCTCACTGCCCTCATGAGCCTACAAAAAGTGACAATGTGGTCTGTGGTTTAAATGGAAAAGTATTCAACATTAAAATATTCCGGCATAATAACAGATCCCAATTTCTGCCCCATTTGATCAGTAGAAACACCTGTGAAGATAAGTCAAAGAATTTTATGTCTGATGGCAGATCTGAAAGTACCACTAAACTACTCAGTTCTTCCCATATCCCTCAAGACTCTTGCATAGCTATAGAATCTATGTCTACTTACATTTGGACATTCAGGGAATGAGAGGACTCAGGGCATAAAATAAAAGGAGGGTGGTCAGGAGTAGGAAGACCAGGGCCAGGACCTCATGTTAGCTGAACCACTGAGCTGCTCTGTAATCACGCCCCACCTCTCCCCCCGGCCCACATTTTAGAAGCCCCTCTCATTCTATGAGATCCAAAAGCCTGTGAAATTCACAGATATAGAAAACACTTGGTATTTTTGATTCCTAAAATGTCTCCCACAGTCGTGCCAATAAAATAACATTTCCATACTAATAGAAAAGGATGAAATAATGATAAGAGAAGATGTTGTTACTTTAAGAAAAAAACAAATCTCGGTTTGGAAATAAGAATGAAGGGAAAAGAAGCCAGGAGAAGCAACAGAATACATAAAGTTATCACTGAGCAGCCTCAGAGGACAAGGTGGGATTGTTGCAGAGAACAAAAGAGTAGCAGAGAACTAGATAGGAAGTCGTCTTGCTTCTTTGCATTTCCGTAGATACCCGCCCAAATCCAAAAGCAAGGACAAATATAATTTAGAATGTTTGTTTCTCTTGCTGATCTTTTAAACTGTTTTATACCAGAGACTGCAAAATAAAAACCCTAGCTCACTAAAGCTGGATCAAGCCCATATTACAGCAGGTTCCTTGTTGGGCAGATAAACATTTCATAGGAAGGTTTTTAAGCTGTTCTATGTGGGAAGTTCAATTTAGCACAAATAAAAGGCTTGCATTCCCCTTACTTTGGACCAGCTGTTAAGCCCAAAAAGGGTTGGTTGAGAAACCAAACTAAGGGCTGTAACTCAGTAGCTAATCTGACAAACACCACTTAAAACAGCCTAATGGAGCATATCTTTATTACCTCTGAAGAATCTCCTGTTCATACCATGAAACAAAATCAGGCATAAACTGGAAACCAACGACAAGGAAAGCACTTGCCAAATTATCCATCCTACCATATACATATGACAAGAAAGCAAGAGTCAGACTCCTATTACCTTGACATAAATGACAGAAATACCATTAATATTTCTTTTGTAACAAAAAATTTAGTTGTACAAATGAGGATACAAGCCAGAATTCAAATATGAATTTTTAAAGTTCTTATATTCGGGATGATTCACAGAGGGAAAGAAGGTAGGTGCATCCATGCAATCAGTTTCTCCACTTTGAGGTCACCTGTAGAAATACAGGCAGAACAGGTGTCACGTTGATACATGGTGTACTTTAAAATTCACAGATTTATTTTTTGCTCATTCACTTTTTAAACAAATATTTATTGAGCACCTAGTATATACCAAAGGCTATGCTAAGCTGTTTTTAGATGGATGTTCTGGGGGAAAGTAAAGGTTCACAATCAAGTCCGTTTGTGAAATACCGAAGACTAAACCCAGCAGTATTTCCCAGCAAATACCCATATACATTGTGGCTCCTTCAGTATGGCCTATATATGCAGCATTTTCCAACCTATTTGATCAAGAATTCCTTTGGTTGGTTGGCTGTTTTGTGTTTTCCTCTGAGAGAAAGAAGACAAATAAAAAGTAACAGGAATGGCTATAAATACTCCATATAAAGAAGCACTTTGTTCTCAGTGTTACAGGTATCTGCAGATGCAATGACTGCCATCCGAGCTAGAGAAGTCCTTTCTCATGCAGTACCAGTCAAACAAAGGCCAAGCAGCTCTGCACTGAGCTCATCACAGAGGACACTCAATCATCTAGCTGGGCTGGAATCGATGATCTCTCAGGTCTTATTTCTCCGAGATTCTATGCCTCCATGATTGTAGTGTAGATTGCCATTCCAGGGAGCTTAAATTCTACTGCGCTTATTAATGACTCCTATGGAGAAAACGATCATTTAAAAAATTAAGTAAATTGGTATCTACAAGCCTCCCCATTTTATCAGAAGTGTTTTTACTTCACATCCTGGAGTATCATAATGATCACTGCAACCACTGTGCTTTGATTTCACAGAGACACCCTCTAGAGTCCATGAATGCCCTCTCTGGGGTTCTTATTCATATTCAATACAAGGACTTGAGTTCTGAGCCATGATGCACAAGCATGCCACTTTGTCCAAGCACAACAGGCCCGTGGTAAATAAACTACTTCAAAGTGCAATGCCCCTATTCACACATGCATTTCTAAAATCGAGAGGCAAAAACGGAATACAAATAAAAATAGAGAGTAAAATAAAGGAAATGTCAACCAAAAAAGATCATGGCAATCAGCCCATTGCCACCACCAATATGAGAACGGGGTTTGAGGGGAATGTGGTAAATGATTAACATTAGATGGCATTTACAGAGCCGCAAGCATTTGCCAGGCCCTGCACAAGACATTGTAAATGTCGTTTCTCTGGTCCTAGTAACGATCCTCCAAAGTAGATATTAATACAACCCTCTTCTTACAGGTGACAAAACAGGCTTGGAAAGGCTACTGTTGATAAATTTATTCAAAAGACTCAGATCAAACAAGTTCCAGGTGTCAAGTACAGCTCATACTCAAACTAGAATTCAGTAGATTTAGAAAAGCTTTTACATTGTCATGTGTCTGGTTCCCTAACCTTCAGACAGGCCGTCTAAAATCTATACTCAGAAGCATATGCTCAATTAGCTTCCATGAAAATTATTAACTAGCTGTGCCTTCACAACTCACATTTTCTCCCAAGGATGGGTTTCATCCCTTATCAAGAATGTTTATAAACAAATTTTTGCAAGAAACTTCATTATTTTTACAGCCTGGAATTCTTAACAGTGATGCCTACTTCTAGCAATCATGTCTTTGAAAGGTCCCTGTTGCTGGTGTATAAGATAGATAAAATTAGATTTGATTGTGAGTCTTAAATCCTGCTACAAGGCAGATGGGATTCTATGAGTGTAATTTTTTCCTTTCAAGTTGAACGACAGATACTCTATACCATCTGTAAACAGTAATGCCTTAGCACATGCAGCAAATTGAAATGATGCATTGACAAATGTTATGCTTTAAAAGGTGGAACAAATAAAAGGATAATTCTGAAACTATCATGAAATGGATTCCCATTAGACTACAGTAGAACAAACTACATAGTGCTTTGTTATGCAATAAAGGTACAGTATGAAAGACTCATAAATCTGTACTAGCAATATAAAACCAAGATTCATGCTAAAGCATTCTTCTGTTAACATCTAATGGAGCCTCTTTCCAATCTGTTATAATTCACTTCAGCAAACATCTATTGAGATCCTAGTTGATCCTCTCTGCTAGGTATTGTGGCCCATGGAAATATGAATACAGCTCTTCACCTCCCAAAGCTCAAAAATTAACAGAAAGTATAATATATAAAGTAGTGGCCATAATATACAGTATAGTACATGCTATACGAGAAATACACGATACACAGTATGTGGAAGGAAGGGGTTGTTACATTTAAATTATAGGAGAGAGGAAAAGGAAGGTTTCACTGATGTTATAGTATGTGAGCTGGGCCTTGCAATTTAAGATTCAAATACATGGACAGAGAAACTGAGAAAGAGATTCCAAGTGAAAGAAACAAGGCCCCAGTACAGGAGT